AATGGCATGAATAACTAAAAAAAATAGATGTAGATAGCAAGAGAAAGAAATTAAGTATAAAAATATCTGATAGCTTCACTAATTACTTAACTGTTGTCAGGTCTCTTTGTATTTGTCCGGAAAAAGGACTCAATGATTATTCGTTCGCCAGAATCAAAAGTCAAAATTCTATGGTACGTAAGTATTTGCATGAAGCCCGGCTAATATATAACACACAGATTCCTAACACTAAAAATTAATTAATTAATTAATGTCTTATTTTATCATCTTATTATTATTATTATTATTATTATTGCAGGAACTAAAAAAACAAAACATTTTTGTACTATGAAATTGAATAGCCTTGTCAATAAACCAACCGACAATGTAATCTTTTTTCGTTTCGATTTTGAATTAAAAAAATTAATTGTTTAATAATACCAAAAAAATTATTAATTCAGAACACAAGCATGCAGATCGTGATAATATTATATTGTATTGTATTATTGTTGCAACGACTCCAGTTATTGATAAGATCACATGTAAATTTTTCATTGGAGATGTAGAATCTTGAGTGGATTGCTTATAGATAATGGCATAAGAAAAAATATATATTTTTTAAAAATAGAAAATAAATAATTTATTTAAAACGGGTTGTTTTAATATTTTTGTTCGAACCGCCGAGATCAAAGATCAAACTATCAACTTTCGAATTCGCTTAGTTACAAACAAATTAACAAAATGACCGTCTTAATCAATTATAAGATCAATTTTTTATTTTGGATTTTTATTAATAATTAATGATTTTATTAGACAAAATTAAATATTGAAAAAAAATTAAATTTTGCAAACACGTTTTGAAGCATTTAAAAAAATGGTTTCTAGAAGTGTGTTCGTTTTGTAATTGATTTTTGAAAAAGTATCTGATTAAAAAACATTTTAAAAATAGATCTTCGTTAACTTTCATGATGCATAGATCCAACAGAAAATACAAATTTTTTCTTGAAAAAGACAGTCATAAATAAATAAATAATTTTTTTAAGGTAAACTTTTGAATCTGTCTAATAATTTCTTCCAATTTTAATATTTAATCTAATAATTTTCTCGCATATTCGAACATTTTAGAAATTAATCGATCTATTATTAAATAAAATCTTAGACTTTAAATTTCGTATCGAGTAGCTATGGTTAGATTCGTAGATTTAAAAATATATTAAATAGTACAAAGACCAATGAAATAAAAATAAAAAATTAAAATATCTAAACAATTCTAAAAATTAACATTTTTGTTAAATTTGGAAGTTTATTAAATACCAATTTTAAATTTAGAAACATATTAAACATGTAAAGTAGAATAAATAAATAAATAAAAACTAAATAGACATCAACTTCCAAATTTGAAAACTAAACTTATAATTTAATTAAAAGAGTTCGAACACTTCAATTTTTACTATTTGAAGCAAGAGGGTGTTAGAAAGTAAGTATTATTTGAACGTTCCATAATTATAAAAAAAAAAAAAAAATAAAACTCAATGGTCGGAATTTTCACGACTTGCGCGAAAACACACTCCACGACTCTTACGATGTGCCCAAATCGAAATCCAACCTCCCCTCCCTCCTTTAGCGTTCCCAAACACCTGCAAGGAAGTAAAGAAAGGAGAATACCGGGAAATAGAGAAAACACCAAAGTTTTTTGGCGAGCAAAACCCATAGATCCAAGGACCACGAACCCTCTGTTAGACGAACACGACTCTCCACAATGGTATGATATTGTCCACTTTGAGCATAAGCTCTCATGGCTTT